GGGGTGGAAGAAGGGCTGGGGGTGGAGAGAATGGGGATTCCTCCAGCAGGCTGGGACTGCCCTGCTAAGAACTGATTAAGGCTGAGATGTCTGTGCATGAAGGAGCCACAGTGTGGGCTGGGAGAGGGGCGTCCACTCACCTTTTTCACTTTTTTCCTCAACCCTGTCCCTATCATCACCTGCCCCTCCGTTTCTGTCCCCACCCTTATCACCATCATCTCCACCAACCCCATTTCCTTCTCCCTCCCCATCTCTGCCTGTACCCCTACCCCCACTATCACCGCTGCCATCCCGCCCCCTCCATTTCCCTCCCCATGCCCTTCCCCAGTCCCTTCCCTCCCAACTCCAAGCCCAACCCCATCCTCATGCTCTCTACCATCTCACCCACATCTCTAAGCCCGCCTCACCATTCCCACCATCATTGGCACTGTCACTTTTGTCATTGTCATCCCCATCTTCTCCATTCCTGTCTTTGTCATGATCACCATCCTTATCGTCACCATCACCACCAGACATTCATTCATTCATTCGGCCAGTGCTCTGAGCATCTCTTCTGCGTTTGAGGGTGATAAATGCTGGGGAAGCTACATTGGGGAGGAGGCAGGGAGTGAGGCAGGAGTGAAGGGGCTGCAACTGCAGATCAGGAGGGTCAGACAAGGTTGCTATGGAGACGTTAGACAAAGACCTGAGGGAGGTTAAGGTTCCGTTCAGATGCAGCAATGTGAGGAGTGTTCCAGGTGCAGACAGCAAGTGCAAAGGTCCTGAGGCAGGGGTGGGGATGTCTGGTGTGAGGAGGGACAGCAAGGAGGCAGGTGCTGGAGAGGAGTAGGGAGCCGGAGGCCTCCCGGGCTGTGGTCAGGACGTTGGGTTCTACTCTGAGTGCGCTGCGAATACTGCAGGACCTCATTGTAAAGGGAGCCCTTAGGCTGCCCTGCAGATACTCTGTAGGGGTCAAGGGCAGAATCAGTTAGGAAGTGACTGCCATCCCTTCACCAGGTGGGTAATTGGTGTCCCCCTCCTCCCAGGTCCGGAAGGTCCATTTTGATACCCAGGACTACGGGCCCCAGGCCATCACGGGGCTGGAGCCCAAGCACGTGCCCCTGCTCCACCAGCAGCAGAGCCAGGGCTCCCTGGAGCGGGAGAATGCCGGACACGTGAGTGGCTGCACCCCAGGACGGCTGGGGACTGGGTGAGGGCACACTCCCTTCTCCTTCCTCTGCACCGATTCACCCAAGGAGCCCACTAAATGCGGGCTCACTGGGACGAGCAAAGGATTTGATTTCCAAGAGAGTGTGGAAGCAGCCCTCAGGTGTGTCTTAGGATTTAACAGCAGGCTCCCTCCTCTCCTCCCCGCATCCGGACACATGAGCACCATCTTCTTCCTTCGGTCTCTCTCCTCTTTGGGCCCCTCCTGGTCTGGGTCCTGGGGGTCCCAGGCCCTGCTGCTCATCACTAGGAGACCAGCACAGGATGTGACTTCGTCTTCATTGTTGCAGGGGAACTGTGACCTTGTGAATTCCTGGCACTGGGATGCCTGATCAGAGAGGAATTTGTGTCAAGGGTGTCATACTGGCCCCCACGGCTCAGAACATACACGCAGGTCCCCTCAGGGCACAGATTCCAAAGAGCCACCCCTGCCACCGGCTGCCTTCTGGGCCGTGGCCTCCTGCGTCCCCCATGCTCCACCCTCTGTGTTCCAGGGCCCGCGCTTCATGGCTTCCGAGTATAATTCCAAGTATCTCAAGGAGCCTTCAAACCAGCCAGGTGGGCACTTGTCTGAGCTCTTACCTCCCTCCCACTGGACCTCCCTACCCCCGACCCCAGGAGAGACCCCTGGGAGACGGGAGCTGGCACAGCACCAAGAGGGCCTCAGTGGAAGAAAGAAGGACTTGCAGGCAGTGTGGGGGAACCATCTCCCCGGGCCAACCTCAGTGCCTTAGGCCTGCCAAAGCCCAAAGGACAGGTCACTCACCTTGCAGGGCTGATTGAGCCTGACCACAGCCACCCACCGGCCTGTCGGCCCTGCCCTTCCTTCTGTTCCTGTCTCCTTCTCTGTCCTGGATTCTGGATTCCTCCTGGTGCCCACGATCCTGGGGGTTCAGGCCTCCAGATCCGTGGAGCCAGCTCCCTTCCCACCCCCCCACACCACCCACCTCTGAGGCTCTGGTGGCCTTGTGGGTGGGGGCAGGTGACCAGGGAGCACAGGGCCCTGTCTTTTGCAGATCTCTTGCAGAAGAAATCAATCGGGGCCAAGGAGGAGACTGGCTTCACTGAGGAATCCACTAAGAACCCCATTGTCTTCCAGCCGCCCTCCCAGGTCCTCCCTGGGGACCCGGTAAGTTGGGCTGGGCCCCACTAGAATCTCAGGGAGGTGAAAGCCCTCCAGCCTGGGAATTCCTAGCATTTAAAAACATGTGAGCTGCAGAACCTTTTGTTCAAACATAAGATGAAAGAGCCTGAGTGAAAACTACTACTTTGGTTTAGTATCCCCACTTTATGGATGAGAAGACTGAGGCCTAAAGAGGACAAGTTGCGTAGCCAACTAAGGTCACTCAGCATTCAGACAAGAACCCTGCCTACCGGCGCCCCTCAGCATCATGGCTCCCCTCAATTTCCCCCACATTCTTCCCTTTCCTCAGCTGCCCCAGCAATACCCTTGTGCTGAGCCCTCTTCTGTGCTCAGGACGAGGGGCCACTGCCTCTGTCGGGCTGACGCTCTTCTGCCGGCCTCTTTCCAGGTCCTCCTTCCTGGCCGGAGTGTCACCAAGTCGGACTTTCTCCCCATGACCCACCCTCGGGTAAGCGCAGCGGGGGAGGGATGCTGCCCCCCAGGCTGGGGTCCTCTGTGGGGCAGCTAGGACAGTGTGCCGGGAGGCGCAGCAGGGGCCTGCTCGGTGCTAGCGGCCGCTTTGCTGCCTTAGGGGGACGAGGTCCTGCCCCAGCTGGCCAGAGGCTCCGAGCGGGACACAGCCTTCAGCCGAGTGAACGAGAGGGTGCTCAACTCCAGAGTAAGTGGCCTTGGGCTCCCTCAGAGAAGGGGCACTCAGGGGAAAGGGGCAGAGGGTTCTTGGACTTGAGCTGGCCCTGAAGGATGGGAAGAGTCAGGATATTTGTTCCCCTGTGGAGGGTAAAGGCCTAGGGGCTGGAAAGAAAGGGTGTGCTGGAAAGTGAATTCAGTGGGGCTGGAGGGCATGGATGGGCTGGTGGGTCTGGGGCAGGTTGTGGCTACATGTGCCCCTGCCTGACCTCCCTCCACCCATGCTGCCTCAGCCTGGCCACTCAGCCACCCGTCTGTGGTTCTGTCCCTACAGGTGCCCCCTCCCGGCCCAGAGCTCAGCAGCATGAGCCACTGGCAGTACCAGCACCCTCAGCGGGTACAACAGACCAATGTTGCCCTGCTTGGCCGGGAGACCGTGGGGAACAAGGTGAAGCCTGGGACACCCACCCCTACCCCCGATCCCTACCCACTCTTGACCTGGCAGGCCCCCCCTCTCTATCCCTCTTTTGCAGGAGCCCACAGGGTACAGCCTCAACAACACTAGCTATGTCCGGAGCCCCTACGACCCTGACGTGGATAATCACTACCTGACCACCTACAACCAAGGGTGAGCCCCCTCCCTGCCCGAACCTGGGGCTGTGAGGCCGGCGCTCCAGACGGAGGCCGAAGCCAGGACGAGTAATAAGGAATGAGCTCACAGCCTGTGAGGAAGACCAACACTGAGGCGGCCTGTGCGCTGTCGGAGCTGAGTCCTGCTGGGGGAGCGAGAGGCTGCAGAGGTGGGCAGAGGCCGGCTGCCCACCCACAAACCCTCCTGTGCTGCAGGTACTTCGAGAACATCCCCAAGGGGCTAGACCGTGAGGGCTGGACTCGAGGGGGCATCCAGCCGCAGAAGCCGGGAGGCTACACCCTCAGCCATCCAGTCACCCGCATGGAGGCCACTCCCAACCCCGCGGAGACCCTGAGGCACCTGCACCCCCACGTGGGAAGGTAGCACGCCCCC